CTGCCACTAGGCCTATCTAGTTTTTCTAGTATCATAAGCCTGATGATATTATGGCTTAATATTTAGAGGGGAGATTTCCAAAGGCACAAATGGGAGTTAGACACCTAGCTAATGCTGATTTTCAGTGGGAGCTGGGCACCTGACTCCCCTCTGTTCCTCTGGAAGTCTCCCCCTAAATCTTTTGTTCTACTAGTCAATTTTGGCTAAAGCCAGGTACAATTTGCCTGACACCAAGGCTTCCCCAAAACCAAGGTCACTACAGCTATCATTTCTCAGCAAGATGGTAACCACCAGCAGTCATCAACACAGTAGTGCTAGCAGTGATTAAAAAGAGTTTTAAGAAAAGAGCAGCAGCAATGGTTTCTTGGGGAAATATGTTACAATAGGCGTTTCAAGATCTTATTCCAAAATACAATTAGTCAAGGGGTAATATTTTCAAAAGCACCTATGTGTCATAGGAGCCTAACCCCTATTTTCAAAAGTGATTTGGGTGCTTAAGTTTCCTTGAAAGTCAGTGGGACTTAGGCTCCTATGTCTCTAAGATGTTTTTCAAAGTTTTACCCAAGCTCTATTAACACTTTTCTATAATATATCTGAAAATGGCTGGCCTATGAATCCCTGCATTTAACTGCCTGTACACTCATTTTTAAAAGGTTCATTTCCCCATGGGCACCTCTTCCTGGCCTGATTCTCCATTGCCTTGCACCTTGTATAGTCATGTAGCCAGTGCAAAGTGGGTGCGAAATACTACCAAGTCAAAATTGCGGCATTCCAGCCCTACTTTTTACTGGTGTAAGTGACTCCACAAGGTGTAGGGGATGGAAAACCAAGTCTCCTTGTCTCCCTGCTCACAACTGATACACAGCTCATTGCAGAGGCTTCATAAATTGAGTTGGGAATGATCTATAATGAATCTGAAACAGCCTCATTTTGTTCTGGTGGAAGCGCTTCAACTTCACAGAAATTGCTGAATCCTACACCCTCTAGCACATACTTACCCACCCACAAAAATCTACCAATAAATATACCATCTGGTTTGTGGCCACATGTTGGGGAAATAAATGCTTCAGGGTGGATCAGCTCTGAGAGTATTTTTTTTCCATTCAGAATTAGTCGTTTATTTCTGTTCTTGCCTGACTGATCCACCAAGCGTACACTTGTTGCTGTATGTTTTACCATCAGTGCCACAAACAGACTGGCAGACTATTGGGCAATTAGTGACATCTAGTGGCGGCTTGCACGTCTCCCCGCTCACCTCCCGGCTAGAGAATATAATAACATTTTAGATGATTTTTGCCACCTGTTTCTTCTATGGCTCCACAGTTCAGAGAAGTGGATAAATGGTTCTCATTCTGGTCCAGTTTTATACACTCAGGTTCAGGATTTCCCTCATTTCCTCTCTGCCTATGAGGAGAAAGCAAAGGCCTCCTGCCTGTCTGAATAGCTCGCCCGTTGATGGTCATGGGGGACAAGAGTTTCAGTACTATCTAGGGTGGGGGGGGATGGGATGATCCTACAGCCTTTTCTGTTACATGTAATATCTGATACGGCACAACTCTATTGGCACGAACTAGCCAGCAGAGCTGACACATACAAGAAATTGGCCCTGACATGCAGAGCTATTGAATAAAACCTCCAGAAGAGTTTGGGTAAGATGAAGAGAAAATCCAGGACAAACAGTACCCATTGCCCTTCTCTGTTGCTCTCTGTGGCCCAAATTCTTGGCTAGTGGAAATCAATATAGCTTTGGGGACTTTAATGGAGTTACGTCTATTTACGACAGATGAGGATCTGGCCTTGTATCTCATACAGTCTAAGTACAGATTGTATTGACTACATGGATAGCTGGACCACAACAGTTTGCTCCCTTGGTTTGATGTCACTGGGATAGTTTTCCAGCTTGATTCCTTCCAGTTTCTCTTATTGGTTTTAGTGTTTCTCATACACAGAGATCTCATCCAAAGTGTGGTGCAAACCATTTATACTGATCTGGGAAATGTGATAGATGAGTAGCAGTAATAAGTGGACTCATCTTATCAATCCTGACTGGCAATTCATGGAACAAACACACAGACATGGATGATACAGTGTTGGAGAGAAATTAAATTCAAAACACTCATCTGTCAAAAAATGGAACGAAACCTATCCCAGCAAACAACACGGCATGGACATTTCTGCCCTAATGGGCTGAGACTGGAGCTGTAAATCATGCTAGTACATAATGACTGGATCTGTTTATTGTTGGACAGAGAACATTCTTCAGGATTCAGTGTTCCACTAGAAGTTTTTGCTCAGCTGGTTCCAAGGACACACTCGAGCTTGTATAAAACAGCATAGTTCTGTTGACCTCACTGGAATTGCACTGATTTATGCCAGCTGTGGATTCCTAAACATATTTCTTTCAAAGAATTCAGAATGTTGATTTAGGTTTTATTTTTTACTTCAGTCACATCTGAAATAATTTCAAAGCCGTGTCCGGAATGTCACAGCCTTAAAGCAGCACTCTCCTGGATGTCCTCTCTGCAGTAGTGAGCTAATCACAGGCAAGATATGCTCCAGGGAGTCAAATTAACACTTGATCTCAAATGTCCTCAGCAACATCTTCCAAAGATGAATCAGTTCTTCTTGGAATTAGCCACTCATTCAGCTTGTTTCAGCACTAATGTCTAAGGCTGCACATGATGCTGAACTCTCCCTTAAATAATCTGGATTTCCAGAAGGTTCCAGATGTCAGACAAAGGGCTCTGTATATTTATGACCTCCACAATGTGCAATATTACAGATTGTGTATGACTCAAAATGAATGAACACCCTCGATTCTCAGCTGAACTTTTTTTATCCATATGTGACTGGATACGGTAGCTGTAAACCATAAGAGAAGCAAAAAAGCCCATAGATGATGGTAAATATTACACTGAGCTATCACTTTCCTCTATTACTACTGCTGACTTTTATTTTTCCCAGTGGGTGCTCCACCCTGCTCTGCCCGTTCCCTTGAGGCCCCACCATTGCTCTGCCCCTTCCTAACTCCGCTTCTTCCTACCCCCTCTCTGCCCCCTCCCCCAAGGCCCGCCGCCAACCCACCACTTGCTGCTCTCCTCCCTCCCCCCAGCGCCTCCTACCAGCCGTCAAACAGCTGATCAACCACCCTGCCAAACAGCTGTGGCTGGTGGGTGCTGAGCACCCCCTATTATTTTCTGTGGGAGCTTGAGCCCCGGAGCACCCACAGAGTCGGCACTTATGTCTATCAGTATTATTAGCTATGCACAGCCTTGCACTAGCTCACACTTTCTAAAATGCAAGATGTTGCCTTAGTGGAGCCTGGAAGCTTGGAGAGGCTAAAACAGAACCCAAGGAATATGCCCCCAAACAAAGAAACTGGTACAATACAAGAAAGCATGACTTACCAAAACCCATCTAATAAACCTCCTTTCTCACCCCTTGAGCCCAGTAGCCTCACCCTAAAACAACAGCGCCATCAAGGGACACATTCCTTCTGCACCAATCATTTAAAAAAGGATTAAGAAGAAGTTGATCATATTCTTAGTTTACAGATACATCATTGCAAGGTCTCAATATGGTATCCAGAGCTTAGTGTCCTAGTGATGCTCCTCCCTGCCAACCTCCAAACTTTCTGGCTAAGTCTAACACACCTGGGCACCAATTAGCTCCAGCCTTCACAACAGAATAGAGACGGTAATAGGTGGTGACCCATCAATCAGCAGAGAGGACTCCCTAGAGTAGAATAGAATGTGCTCCCATCACTAATGTGCCCTCCTTCTCCTTGTCTGGGGCCATGGAGAGGTTAATTGAGGCTTGTTGGCGACAGATGATTACCCTGCCAGCTGCCTTTTCGTCACATCAAAGGGGACCAAAACTTATTCACCCAAGAAGCAGAATTATCATCATAGTGAAGACAACAAAGACACCTGTTATTTTCGTGATGGAGATGGTTGTCAGATCTGTGTTCAATACCTATTAGTGCTCTGCTCAGTAGGTGCCGTCTGAAGAAACCCCATTCACAAAGCCCAGTTGTAACTCTTCCCTTTGATTGTGAAATTCCCCATCAGTCATTCTGTTGCACTGTACAGTGTGCTAAGGCCGATTCCCCAATATGATGGTCTGGATTGATAAATGAGGAGTTTGGTGTGTTGTCTGTTTGTCTGTCTTCCAAATTCATTCACCTTTAAAAGGTGAATAAGAGCAGAGAGATCTCTTCCTCCTTTTTCATTTTGTGGCAGTTTTTATCAGTGCTTTATTCTGAACCAAACTGATATGTTTCAAGCTCAAAATTTGCTTTCCCTTAACACCCGCAAAAATCTGCTAAATATTCTCAGTTTTCATGAACATTTCTTCTAGTGAACCCATTTCCTGGAATATTCACAGAAGACAAATGAAAAGGGGAACAAACAAAGCCAAAGCAAGTGATCCAAGAGCCCAGTAAAGCAGTAATAGTCCGAAGTATAAGAGCAAAACAACAATTGTTCAGGGCTGCAAATGAGATATATAAAGCCAGCTTATCAGAAGTGAAAAAGAGCCACTACTGATCAAACTTAAGTGGCGATTGTTTGACAAAGCTATCACTTTAATTTCTGGTCCTGTTTGCATGCTAGAGGGCTCTGTGAGAAAGCATGTAATCGGGGTCCAGCAGCAGTCAGTCTGCAGAGAGTCAGCCTAGAGTATGGTAGGTTGAGTGAGCCTCTCTATTTTAGAAAGCAGCCTGCTTTGTCTTTCTCTGTTTTGGGGTTCTTGTGTGCTACGGTTCTCATTTCTAAAAAAATCAAGTAGTGTTACATTGCAGTCTTCTGGAAAGGGTATTTTATATTTTTATCTAATTTCTCTGTGTGTATATCATGAACACAGCAGTATCATATCTTTTATTCTCTGGAATTACTGCTCTGTAATTATTTTCTATATGCTGGAAAGAACTCATATACAGCATTACAGTCCATAATCCCTTCCTCTCGACAAGAAACAACGGACAAACATTTCTCCTGCTTTGCTTGTTTAATAAAGTAAACTGAAGAGACAGTGATATGATCCAAACTGATAATGGATACAGATAGTGTAATCAGGACTTTCAGACTCAGTTACAATGGGGATTCATTCAACATTCACCAGTTTTCTTCAGACGCAGTGTCCCATTACTTTTCCTAGGAGAAAATGAAAACACAGAGAAATTAGAGGCAGCAAACTTGATGTTATAGACTAAAGTCCCCAACTGACCCACTTGTGAACAGAGATGCTGTAAGAATCTGCAGTTTTCTACTAGACTGATAGAGCCATTCCTTGGCTATTTTCCCCTCACAGATTATAGCATAGGTGCTCATGTGAACTATCAAACCTCTTGGGTCTTCAAACTTGGATGGGAAATCTCATGAGAGAAGGATCTCCTCTTGTGACACTGAGCCAGAAATATTGCAAAAACTGCCTCCTTTGTTGCAGAATTTTTTCTCTTAGGATTCTGCACAAAACCACAATGCCCAGAGTTGCAAGAAAATTAAATTAATATACTATAATTTAACTAAATGTGGAAACTGGGATTCAAGTTTTGCACACAGGTTGCATCACGCCATATGTCAGACAATCTGGTTTGCCTATCTCTAGAATTAAGACATTGCCATCTTGGGTTCACAAATGGTGGAAAATATCTAATGTTTAATGCTTTTATCTCCTATTCAAGTTCTTCAACAGCCCGGAAGGTAACTTGTTCACTATCTGTATGAGCATGGGTTGCCATACTGTTGGGAAATCAATGGGGATGTTGCTAAATAAAAGAGCACAGAATTTAGCCTGACACTAATTTTCAGCAAGATGGCCACCACCAGTACTATATCCATGAATAATACTCTGCCATGGCATCGACCCTGATAGAAACAGGAGGGCTCCTAACTACAGTGGATTTCTTTTTTGTTTAGACTTTTTATTCTTATTCCATGAGTAAACTCTTCTGACACTTTCAATACTTTTCAATCCTATATAAAGTTGTTTGGGTCCCAGATTTCTTGTTAGCAAACACCTCATTTGGGAGATGTAGCTCTGTGGGCTCACCTTTTGATTGTCTAGTCTCTAATCTCTGCTGAGATAGGGAGCTCTCCACTGACTTCTAGTGATCAGTATTTCAATCAATTTGGCCTCATTATTGGGAGAAACTCTATAGAAACTAAGCAAATAGGCAAACAGATACAGATTCTGAACATGGGGGCAACCCTATGGGATAATAAGATTTATAGAAGTGACAGATAAATCAATTCTTTTCAAAGTTTTAATGCCTCAGGAGCAGTTCCTTGTTTCTGTACTTACGTGACTGCTGCACAAAAGGAACACTTGTTTGTATAGGTTTTGCCATCAGAGCCACAATGAGGTTGATAGATCTTTGCACAGTAGGTCTCTCTACCTCTCTCTACATTCTTAAATTCACTGCAGTCAACCTATAAACAAAATAATGCCATTTTATTTAAAATTCCCTTCCTCATTTCTTTCATCTACAATTACAATAATAATGGGGTTGCCTACTCCCTGCGCCAGATCCTCAAGTAGTGTGAATCAGCATAGTCAGTGGAGCTACCCACGTTTACACTAGCTGAGGATCTGGCTCTCAGGAGTAGTTAAAACAATGGAAACAACAAGCCAATTTTTCCCACTGAGTAGTATCTGACACCAGCAGAGCCAGGTGTCTGACATCTTTCTAGGGTTTGCTATCCCTTCAAGCCTGTCTGTATTGAAGAGATGGACACACAGAGGGCTGTAGGGAGTAGAGCTGCTAGGAAAATGGGAACATGTTTTGTGAAAACTCCCATGAAAAATTTCTTTTTTTTTTCTTTGAAAAAATTTGAGTTAGAAAAGTTTTTGACCAACACTAGTTGTGAGTTGCTCTTTATTGTGGGGAAGGTCAGGTTCCTGAGGACATGTTAGATTCATTCAAAGGGTGATCATAGCCTCTTGTATCCCTGAAAGTAGCAGCTTCCAACTCATCTTATAACTGTGAGAAGAACTAGCTGGGCAAAATTGCAGGCAGGCCTCGTTCAACTGTGCAGCTACTAAACATAAAAAGAAATTGTAGAAAGAAGAATCCCAATTTAAATCTACCTTACTGCTGCATCAGTTATGGACCAGAGGATAAAACTGAGGATGGCATAACTGGAAAAAGAACTACCCTTCCCAGACCAGAACAGCCCCTGACCCAGCTTCTAAGGTCTGTACTAGTTCCAACCAAGCGAAGTGTCATTCCTGATCTTACTTCTGCAAACACATGAACTCCACGGGCTTCTCATCTTCTCCCATGTGGAATTCAAGGTGATGGTTTTAATCTTGAAAACTCCATGTGATTTGGCTTCTGGTTACCTTTGGAACCACTTCTATCCTTAAACCCACTGTGATAGCTACGCCCAGCCGAGGTGCTTTGCTGACAATGCCTAGGTGTGAACTTTTAGGGATTAGAAGCAGGGTATTCTTAAGGGAGTTCCTGTGATGGTGGAGTGCCTTTTCTTTGAAGGTTGGAATCCAAGTGTATTAGTTTTCAGAGCAATGGTGCAATGCCCAGGAGGACAGCAGACCCTATAACTTGTGAAACAAGCCTAGATTGGGTCTGCCAAGCTTGACTCACAATTTGTAACTTGTCAGGTTAGGCAATTTAAACTGGATTTTTGTCTGACGCTAGGAAGGACTCGTGATTATTAAATATTTCATCCTTGTATTGCCCCTGTTTAAGGAGAAAACTCTTCCTCCTTCCTCTCTGGATTACTCATCTGTTGATGCTAACTGGAGGAGAGCTGCAGTGATGGAGGACCCCGTCACCCTTTCTTATATGATTGGCACCACGTGGCTTAGCTGTGCTTTATTGGCACTAGTTGAGAGCCACAAGAAGTAAAGTCTTAGTATGTCGCTAACCCAGTAAAGCAGTTAAGGACGTGCTTAACTTTAAGCACGTGAGCAGTTCCACTGAGCTCAAGCATGTCCTTAAGTGCTTTGCTGGATCAGAGCCTTAAGTGCAGTTAACATGGATTTACCTGTGACAATGCAAGATCCTAGTTAATGGGTAAGATGCAGACAAAGGGTGAAATCCTGGCTCCGTGGTGGAAGTCAACATAAATCTTGCCATTGACTTCAACGGGGCCAGGATTTCACCCAAAAAACTTTTATAACTGTGGAGAAGTCACTCCCCAGAAATGTTCCACCTTCTTGAGCTCTGGTTAGTTAGAGCCTGGGAGGAAATTCCACCCTTGGCCTCCTGCTGCCAGCCTGCCTCTCGCTGGAGGGGGGAAATGTCACTCCACAACAAGGATGAGGGACTGGCTGTAGGCCAACTAATTGGTTCTGGGCCAGCTGGCACGCATATGGGGGTGGGGTGTCCTCTGTGACTGAGTGGTGTGGAACTGCTGCAATGGCTGTGAGGAGCTGACCAAATTTAGCCTGGATCCAAGGCTGTAGCCAGGCTGATGGAGCAGCCCGGACGCAGCAGAAGAGTCCCAGCCAGCACAGGGATTAAGGAGACAGACACCAGTCAACACACTAGAGACCAGAGCTCAGCAGCAGTCCAAACTCACGCTGGACTAAAGCCCCAGCACCACTGCAAGGGTTGGAAGGTACTCTGTTTGGGACTGAGACTGGGTGGCTGTTTGGACTCTTAATCACTTTGGAGAGCATTATTTTGCATATTCAGGGGTTGGGGACTGGGTACATTTTACTATATTGCTGGAGGATGTGTATAGGTGACTCCCTATAGCTGCCCCATCTTTGAATCATCCCCAGTAAAACCCGAGGGCTTGTCTTTGCTCAGATGAAAATGTTGTTTGTTGTTGAGTGCAGCATTTGTTTGTGGGGTTTATTCCTGTCTCCTCAATGGGGTTGGAGCATCATTGGAGGTAAGTGGAGTTCTCTCAGGCACATGGTTTGGGATATGGGAACCACTTGACAGTCAATGGAATTTAGATTCCTAAGTGCCTAAATCACTTTTAAAAATGAGATTTAGGACCTTAATTTATTTGGCACTGCAATGCTGAGTGCAGCAATGCCTAGATATCTTTAAAAATCTGGGCCTGAATGCTATCAGTCTGACTGTATGAAAACTGTGTGTCTGAATCCTAGGGATTTATTCTCTGGATCCTGTAGCATTCCTGTATTTTACCTTTTTAAATACTTCCCATTTAATTTTTAGTGTTTTTCCTGCCACAGATTTTGACTCTGCAATCATTCCAAACCATTTATTTTTGATCAAGGGAAAATGACTCACCTGACTCCCATTTTGACTGGCAGCACCTGGAACAAAATCACAGACACAAAAGATCAAATGAAGCAAAATGTTTGAAGGCTATTCAGTTAAACACCTGGGGACAGATTCACCAGTTCACATTGGCTGCTTTGTGCCATGCTAGCCACACAAAGCCACTGTTACTTTGGATTAACTGTAGCTAGTAAATATTACTGAGAGGTTTCCTGTATTCGTGGGTCATTCGTGAAATATTACCTCCTTTGATGTAAATAATGACAGTGTTTTTCAGTGTTGAATACAACACATTTATCAAGACTTATTATAACTGCTAACAAATCTTATTTACTTCTGGATATTTGAATTCTGTGTCAGCATCTAGCACAGTCTTTGCCTATCAGAGGGAATGAAGCCCCTTTCAGTCAAATGGACACATCAAAGCAAGATTAAAGGCCAGGGAGTCAGTTTTGTGCTTACTGCTCAGGATGGTCTAATGGTTAAGATGCTAGGCTGGGGTTTAAGAGACCTAGGCTGAATTCCTAGTCCTACAATAAACTCATTCTGTGGCCTTGCTTAAGTCACTTAATCTTTCTGAGCCTTGATTTCCTCATTATTATCCTCACTAGTGAGGTCTAGTAATAAGGTCACTAGTGAGGATAATAATAAAGTTTTTCTTTCACTCTGGATCTGTCCTGTCTATATGGACTGCAAGCTCTTGGGGACAGGGTCTGTTTCTAAGGGTATGTCTACACTACAGGATTAATCCGAATTTAGATAATTCGAATTTGGGAAACAGGTTGTATAAATTCGATTGTGCGTGGCCACACTAAGCACCTTAATTCGGTTTTTAACCACATTAATTCGGTGGTGTGCGGCCACACTACCCCATTAACTTAAACACAGTAATTCGGTGGTGTGCGGCCACACTAACCCTAATTCGAATTAACAAAATCGATTTAGGCGCTACTCCGCTCGTCGAGGTGGAGTACAGAAATCGATTTTAAGTGCCCTTTAATTCGAATTAACTGGCTCTGTAGTGTGGACGGGTGAAGGGTTAATTCGGATTAACGCAGCTAAATCCGAATTAAAGTCGTAGTGTAGACCAGGCCTTACTATATGTATGTCCAGCACCTCTGATCTCAATTGGGTCCTCCAAGTGAAACGTTAATATAAATAATAACACTACAAAGAAGAAATCAGCTGTTCTTGGAATAAAGCAGTTCTTTTTGATGACACAGTTTTCTTTCTCTAGGGATGTATATATGTTGGGCATCTCCTGTAACAGTCATGGCTTTCAAAAGGTAAGAGAAGTCAAAGTGCCGTGTACGCATGATTTTCGCAAACTACAATGTCACAGGGCTTGTTGGGTGTGTGACCCAAAATTAATTAACACCCTTAGATCTCTGTTGAAACTCTCTTGTCTAGTGCAACCTATGATGAGATATATAGTAGCAAAAGTTACACATAGTCCTTGCGTCAATTTCAGTCTCTTGTATACCACCAAATCCCACAAAACTCAATCTAGGTTTGCATCATCCTGGAACTGAATCAGATTCAGGCCACCTCCCCTAAAAGGCAAGACGTTATTAATTTTATTAACTGTTTAGTGCCAACTGTGTACTTGGCTGTGAACAAGACCCAAAGAGAGCGGCAGTGCCTGCCACAAAAACCTTGCAATCTAAGACAAGATGCACTGTGAAATCCAGAGGAGAGAATCATTATTTTTATCTTAGAATGCCAGTAGTAAACTATTGGATCTGGTCAAAAAAAATTTGACAGAACAGTTTTCTGTCAGAAAACAGTGTTTTGCCAAAACTGACAAATATCAACAGAAAAATATCAATTCAATTTAAAATCAAAATGGAGTATTTCATTCTGATTTTCTTGGCTTGTTTCAACTTTCATATATAAATATAATGTAATACTAAAGTTAACATTTTATAACTTTATTCATGGTATAATGTTTCAACAGTCTCAAAAATGAATGTTCTAATAAGGTCAGTTTGATGTTTCCAGACTAAAAATGTTCAGAATTTCCATTATGTGGGGGGGAAAATTGGAAATTTCAACTTTTTGTCCCAATTTGGGATACAAACAAATTTTGAAATGTTGGAATTTCCTGCGGGATGGACCAGCTCTATATTTTATCATACTATAGCCTGGAGACCCCTGGTCTCTCAAATATATCTCCAACCATTAGAGGATTCTATCAGTCAAGCTCCCACTGCTGGACTCACCCCTTAACCGCAGAATGGGAGACATCCCTGGTTTGCACCACCAGCAAGAAATAACAGATAGTCCTGTGGCACCTTTAAGACTAACAGATGTACTGGAGCATAAGCTTTCGTGGGTGAATGCCCACTTCGTCAGATGCATAGAAATAGGTTCCCTTTGCTCAAATTCGTTAAAGATGCTGAGATGTTGCTTGTTAAGTGGTGCACAAGAGTTCACTTGCTAGTGCAGCTCCCTTCCAGCATCTAAACATTGGTCAGGCTCCACTATTCCTTCCACATGCATGGAAAGAGAATAAGCCACTGCACTGATACCTGGAAAGAGGAACTCCCCTGAGCAGTGTGTGCATCTGTCCCTTAAGGCTCCCTCTCTTCTCTCTTCCTAGAAACTGAGCTGGGCTGACTACATCATCCAGGGGACAATGCACTAGGCCACCACCAGCTGCTCCAGAATATCAGGAAATAACAAAATGTACTCACTGGAGAAGCAGAAAACTGCCAGAGTGAGGAGTAAAAAGACTCCTGTCATCTTCATGGTGGAGCTGGGTGTCTGGCCTCTTTCACATCTGTCAGTGCTTTGCTAAGTAAATCTCCTACCCAAAGCTTACATATATATGCAGCAGTCACCATGACTGTGAAATCACCCTGACATGGTAATTGGCATGAGCAGAGAGGTGGTGCCTGTTAGGTAGTGCCAGTTTGTAAGCAATGTACTCATCTGAATGTGTTTACCCTATACTTATACACATCACAGGAGTCAGAGCTTGGATCGTGCGGATAAGGGAGACGTATTGCACATTAGACAATCTCCATTTGCCAACTGACCACTGCATTTCCAGCATGTTGCACCTTTAAAGCAGTGACTCAATAGGGTGGCTCATTATTGGTGGCTGCTAGTGCCTTATTGACGCCCATGGGTGTACACAAGTCCCTGAAGGGGGATTTACAATGGAACAAACTAGTTCCCATTTAGCATGTTCCAGATGATTCACACCAAGAGAGTTTAATGCTTAAATTATTTGGTGTCTCCAAATTTGAGAAATGAGTTCAGTTCAGCAGATGTGGATAGAAATGATGGAATGTGGCCCCTTTTCTTGGCTTGTGAATTTCATGCATTCAGTTTTTTTGAGCTTGGGAAGCCTGCTATTTTGGCTGAATGCTGCAAATATTCAGCCTACAAACAGTCATTTGAATTCTGAACAGCTGTTTGGTTTGACCTTGTTCATGTTGCTTGTTATCCACTCCTTAGGAATGTTTTCCTGGGTGTTTGGGAAAAGACAGTTTGGTTTTTTCACACAAATACACCATTTGCATGGAAACAAGAGCATCACAGAGGTATTCACATTCTATGCTTGTATTTCATTATTCTGATGCTAGTAAGTTTCAGTTGTCAAATCAAGGACCAGAAACATCACTATGTGAGTCAGGTGAAGGAACACACTACATTAAAGAGGAGCTAATAGATGAAGTGGACAGTTGGTGGAAACTGTCCAAATTATTCAGTGTATTCACCATCTTATCTAGTGTTGTCTTCTGTGGGAGACTAAGGATAACTTTCTCCCTGCATCCCCCCCCACTTCCTTGAATCTTCAGTACTTCCAGTGCAACAAATGGTGTATCATTTGGGCTTCTTAAAACAAATCAAAATGTAACGATTTGCTGGTGAATGGGTATCATTTTCCCTTCACTCTATGATATTGATATAAACTCCAGATGGAACAGAGCTGGAGAGTTGAGATCTGGATCTGAACTTCCACAAAGCTCTGAGTGTTTGGGTCCCATATTTGGGTTTGAGCCCATCTGCAGTAAAAAAGGACTTGACATTTGGCATTACATGGGCACATCATCCCAAAACAGGAGGTCTTTCTGCACAATCACAAATTCAGTCTAATCCAAAGAAGACCCTCCCAATCCCTGAATGTCACAGTAGGGCTTGGGGTTTTACCATCACAAGAGTCAGTTTGCCATTAGTGCACAGAAACCCCAGGATACATTTCCAAACTGAAAATACTCCTAGGTGGAAGATGACCATGGCTCCTACTGACTTGTGCTCATACGCAGAGCACAGAGATCGATAGGAGTATTGATCAGCAAGCTGTCTGCTTTGCCTGAAGGCCTTTTGTTTGGTGAATTGACACATTATTGCTCCTGATTATTTTAGGAAAGTGTGGAGCAAGTAAAAGACCCTGTCAGATCCCAACTCCCTACTTAGAAGGGAGAAGGACAGAAACACTATGTAGCAAACAGCAGGTAGAGGGAGGCAAAATTTGCTTTGCTTCTGCTGCCTTTTGCTTCATCTTCATTTAAACATTCTGAATTTCTCAGAAGTCCTAAGTTTTCTATATTCTGAGTTTTGGTCTCTTTGCACATCCCTGTAAAGTACATTCTCAAAGGATAGGATTTGACTAAAATTGATGCTTGTTTGGATTGTCAATCAGGTTTTGTTTTGGAAAAGGTGGAATGAGGGTGGATCCTTCTTTGGGTCCCCTTTTTACTGAATCTCTCAAAATTGGGCAGAATTCTGGATAAATGTTTTCTGCTCTGATCCCTCTCTGATATTGACACGTGGCAACATTAGGCAACATAAGCAAAGCCTGGGGAAAATGGAAGGTGGCCATTTTATGCATAGTTTTTAAGCAAGACTAAGGCACTCAAGAATGCAATGAAACTTTGAAATCGCAGCCTGAGAGAATGCACTGCTTCCCTTGCACTTGGGCATGAGGAAGTCTCCTTAATTCAATCCCATTTCATTATGTCCTCTTGCCTCATTGCTCCGTATATGGAATTCTGGATTCTGCTGGCTGCTGCAATGACAACATTAATCCAATGAACCTAGGGGGGAAATCACAAATGTTCTTACTTGTTTGTAATCTTCTGAACTGGGACAGGAAGTGAGGTGGGGATTTCTTTGTGGGAAAGGAGGAAGGAAAGAAAGGATCATTTTGGAGGGTGGGAGTGGGGGTTTCCTCTAAAGATTGGTTTTTAGTGTTTGGATATTTATCTTACCCTAGCAAAAATTGCATATGCCTGTTCTATGCCACTTTGCAGTACATGCCTGCAGTACAAGTTCTGTAACCGGCAAGGCTTAGTTATTTTTAACTGAATTTAGAGGGATCATCTAAGTTCTGGAGTTTCCCTGAATTTTGAAATACAATTGTTAAAGCAGGTCTGTGTGTCTTTCACTTTCTGAAGTGAGATAATGTCAAGATGCAAAACCTCAAAATTTAATACAGCTACAAGCTAACTCTAAACAGCATCCATTATGGCCCTGATTCAGCACAACACGTGTACTTTTAAGAACTTGAGAAGACCTATTAGAATCAATGCCAGTAAAAACAACCAGTATATATTCATGTTACTCAAATAATGCTTCATCTTAGGCAGCAGGTGAACTTTGCAGAGGCCTCCTGTTTGCTGCAGTATGCTTCATGTGCAGCTGATTTTACTACTGACATTTGTCATTTAGATTTATCATTTGCTAGCTGCATAAAAATGAATACTTCACTCTCATTAACTACTATTACAAACCTAGAAAGGTCTGAGAGATCTTAGATTGGTTGGGGGATCTTAGCCAGAGGAAAAAATATCTTTTGTAGATGAATGAGAGTTCATATTTATTTGGTACAGTTTCTTAGAAGTATCTGAATTGGTCTCATTAGCATATCTATCATTGGCCCTGAAACTTATGGTAAATATACTATTTGTATTAGATTCTAGGGGTGGAATCCAGGCCACACAGAAATCAGTGGGCGTTTTACCATTGACTTCAATGAGGCCAAGATTTTACCTTAAGTAGTTTTTTGAATATATGTAGCTCTATTTTAATCGCGTACCTGTCTCATAATTTTATACTTTTGTTACCGTATATTACCTTTTCCCACCTTCTTATCCCTTTGTCTTGTTATCTTGGGGGGGAAATTACTCAGTGACTGAAAGCTTATCACCTCTAATGGGTCTGATATGATCTGACAAACCCACATAGACAAGAAGTATGTATTTCATATATAACGAATGTATGTCATAATTTTATATACACAACATAGGTGTATGGAACATCATATAATTGGCACATTGCATAATAGTTAATATATGTTTTTGTACACAGCAAGTCAAATATAACAAATGTATGCTGCTTACAAGCATTAATTTAGCAGCTCCATGTATTTTGGTTCCACATGGGAGGATGTTGTCTTCCTGCATTCCAGAAAGAGTCCATTTGTATTAAATGCTTCCCACGCATGTGGCTGTGCTTTAAATTGGGGACAGCAAGTTGCTTGAAGGAGTTGGCGGTGTGCTGCAAATAAAAACGTACAACTTGTCCGCACCCCAACTTGTGCCAAAATAACTAAATCTGTTTGAATTCATCTCTTTTGTCATCTTAATGTAAGTCTGCATACACCCAGTTAATAGAGTACACTCAGTACATTCAGGAATAACAAATGATGTGAGTTAAAACTCAGTTAGTTATATTCGTGCAAGTTTGTACGTAGACCAGAGCATAGGCTCTTATCCTGCACTTTGATGCACGTGGGCGGATACAGCAGTCCGCCCATGTGTCATGAATTGCAGGATTGGAGCCTTAAGTAGCAAAGCCTTGCTCAAAGACATTTAGGAACAGCGTGGTCTGAGAATCTGATTATGTATTTCCTAAGAAACTGGCCTGTGCTGAATCATTTGGATTTTTGCCTAAAGGAAGATCAGTTTTCCCTGCTTCCACACCCTGGGGAGGATCAAAGGATCCTTTCTCTGTGAGAGACAGAAGAGGATTCCATCCATGGCAGACTTAGCTGGCCCTTCAGTATGAGCAAAGCCACCTGCAGAAATAAGAGCTGATGTTTTGATTTCATTTTTGTATTTTCTGATTCTCTTAAAGATAAAATCCTAGGCGAATAGTTCAGTATAGTGCGGCTGGTCTGTAAATTCTTTTAACATACTTATTTATCATTATATTATTTATGCTTCTGTATGATTTGATCGTGCCCTGGCGGGACAACAGTGAACCTGGGACAAAAGATGCTATGTAAGTGCCAAGCATTATAAGTAGAGCTAGAAGTATTACATATAGTTAAGGTGTGCCTCTTATTGATGTTACACTTTCTAGTCTCAGACATTTTTGCTTAATAACGCTCTTCTTTAAACTGGAAAGAGCTTCGATGACTAGGGTGACCATATTTTCCCAAAGGGAAAATGGGACACCACTCGGGCCTGAGCCCAACTTCCCTCCCGCCCACCCCCACCGCACAAGCCCTCCGCTCAGCCCTCCCTGCCTCCTGCCCACACAGGGCCAGCCCAGGCCCCACGCTGTCCAGGTGGGGCTGGCCTGAGGCCCCCCCTACTGCCTGCCTGCACAAGGCCAGCCCAAGGCCCCCCTCTGCATGCAGGGCTGACCCAAGACCCCCTGCCACCCGCCCACATGGGGCTGGCCTGGCTCAAGCCACTCTCCCGAGCCTTCCCTCCCACACAGGGCTGGTGTTGCTGCTTGCCTCTCCCTCCCCCTACACATTCCTCTGCACCTTGCTAGGGGTCGCAACCCACTTTTTGGGGGCAAAACTGTGCAT